AGTCACTGAGGCCAGCAGATGGTATGGGCATCATGGGTCACACAAAGCCCTTCCTCATGTGCACGGTGCGCATGTGACTTCCTCAGATGTGGTGTGAGCAGCCAGGCGGCCCTTGTTGCAGGCCAGGTGGAAGTGTTTGAGGCTGGTCAATGCTGATGGCGTCCCCAGCTGGAGGGTGATGTCCCTCTCCCCTTGCTCACTGGTCTTGACATGCTCCCGCATACAGCTCTTCTTCCCTCCATGCCTCGTGGGGCATACGTCAGTCTGTTTCTTGGGAAAAGAAAGAGAGGGAGACATGCTTTCAGCGTGTGGGGACCTGCAGACAGAGAGACGGAACAACAGAAAACGCCTGTTTATCCTGCAGTCAATGCTTAGCAGCTGGGACGGAGAAGTGGTGGGAGCCTCTTAAAGTGAACTCCAGCCCTCCTGTGTCACCACTGTGTGTCTCCAGCCAAGGCAACCCTTTCCCTTCTTTTTGCTTAAACATAAAACTGCCCCTGTCATGAGAGACCTGTGGGGAGGTTCACTAGGGCAGTGTTTATCTTGATTTTGCTCTTTTCCTCCTTGACTTGTCTGGCCATTTCTGACCCTTTTCTGTGGGTCCCCGCCAAAAGGTGCTTCAGACTGTGGTGGGCTTTCAGGCCTTGCTTTGGGCCAATCCCTTTTGGGTGGACTTTTGCCCACGAGGGAATGGGTTACTTTGGATGTTTAATTTAGAAACTATATTCTTTATCTTTTCTGTAGTGCACACTCATTGTATTAAAATTCCTTTCCATGAAAGGTCTCATGTTTGTCTCGATGTGGCAGATGGCAGAACCTATTTAGGGCGCGCAGGTTTTGAGGTGCAGGGGTGCCCTCTCCCTGCCCTGCAACAAGATCAAAATGAATGTATTTTTCATCTTAAAGAAAAAAACTGTCCCCATCATTTCACTTAGCAAAATTAGCCCTGACTCCTCAACTATCACCAAACATACAGTTTGTTTTTACCTCTCCCAAATAATTAAAAAAATGGCTTTCATTCTGGATCTCCTGGTGGTGTGAGATTAAGTCTCTGCACTGTCAAGCTATTACCAGTTACAGCAGCCGGAGTTTGATCCCCGGCTAGGGAGTGACCTCCAGGGCGCAGCAGACCTCTCCTGTCTCCCGACTGTTTCCCTCAGCAGTGGATTTCAGTCCATCTGCGTGTCCTGCTCCTCACTGTCTCTGGTGAATCCTCTCACACCCTACCTCTGGCCTGCAGATCTTGTATGCATAAATAAAGAAAATAAATCTTTCAAATGTCTTTCATTCCAGTTGATTACCCCAGTCACCCCGATTTTATGTCATAAAGTTCTCCACCTGTGAGCTGTTCTCTGTGGTTTTATCAGCTGGTGGTGGTTATTGCCCCGTTCCACCATTTTCTCCATTCTATCATTCTTCCGGCATGTTTTATCCTTACATCCGTCTATAAAGCAGGAATGGTCCCTCATTGGCGCCATTTCCCTGAAATATGCTCTGTAAGGAAAGAGCAGGGCAAATGCTAGCTTTGGCTTCTAATTGGAGACATCATCCTTATCTTCACACAGAGTGCCCAGAACTTTCTATGGAAGTTGCTTCCTTCCATCGAGGTTATTAATATTTGATACCCAAGCTGTTCCATCTTTGGTGAGTTGGAGCCGTTTCTGGCCATGTCCTGTCTCCTTTCGACAGGACTTCTTTGTGTTTTAAAAATGTCCATATGCTCTAGTGTGGACATTTCCTGTATTTCCTGTGCTAGTGCAGGTGTCTGCCATTCTACTCGGGGCCTCTGGCTTCAAGAGGCCGTAATCCGGGTACTGAGGGCTCTATTTCTCTCAGCCATTCCCTTCTCCACCCCTTCCATCCCTCTGCCTGCCCTCCAGCAAGGCAAAATCTCCCATTCCTGTTTCTTATTCTTCCTCTCGATGTCCTAAATGTTTTCTCTCTGCCTTGAGTCTGAAGCTTTGGTGTGATGACAGCCCAAATGGATGGCCCGCTGGGATCATCTAGGACAGAGATGGAGGCACAGGGAGGAGACGGGCCTCTGGTAAGGAAGTCAGGGCTTGAGCCCCAGCCATCCTGGAAGCCAGGACAAAGGGCTGAGGCACGCCGCAGAGAGCACAGAGCTGCCTCAGTGGCCGGAGGTAGAATGGGGGAATGGTGGTGGTAGTGGGGTAATAATCACTATCTCTAACAGCAGAATCTCACAGTATTGGCTAAGCACAGTGGAGCATGACCTCAGGGCTAGACACTAACCTTCTGGGTTAGTGTCCAGGGCTAGACACTAGCCTTCTGGGAAGCCCAGGGACTTCAGGGCAGGGCAATCAGCACAGATGAGTTTTTGGTATTGTAATAAGTGGTGTGATTCCCAGTGTGCCCACCTCTGGGGAGAAAATGGAGGGTCCCACAAGCAGGGGTGGCCTCAAGCCACGTAGCTCTGGCAGCCGCCCCATCCCCAGGTACAGTTCTGCAGACTCATGCTCTCCCTGTCTCTCTGACTTCAACCAGGACTCTCTGGGTAACAGCACCACCCCCGAGTACCCCTATGAAGACTCCTTGACCCTGGGACCAGGGCCAGTGGACAAGTCTGACCACAGCATACATCCTGCCAATGTGATCACTCTGACGATCTTAGTGGTCGTCTTCCTGGTGGGGGTGCCAGGCAACGCCCTGGTCGTCTGGCTGACAGGCTCCGAGGCCAAGCGAGCCATCAACGCCATCTGGTTTCTCAACCTGGCATTGGCCGACCTTCTCTCCTGTCTGGCACTGCCCATCTTGTTCTCATCTCTGATCATGGACCAACACTGGCCCTTCGGCGAGACTGCCTGCCGCATCCTGACCTCCCTCATCCTGTTCAACATGTTTTCCAGCATCTTGCTCCTGGCCACCATCAGTGCTGACCGCTTCCTGCTGGTGTTTAACCCCATCTGGTGCCAGAATTACCGGAGCACCCACTTGGCCTGGGTGGCCTGCGGCATCGCCTGGGGCTTGGGTCTGCTGCTGACCATCCCTTCCTTCCTGTTTCGGACCGTGTACCACGACCCCTTTTCGGGCAGGGTGCTGTGCGGGGTCGACTATGGCAATGACAACAGGCGTATAGAGAGGGCTGTGGCTATCACGCGGCTGGTCGTGGGCTTCCTGTGGCCGCTGGCCACCCTCACGATCTGTTACACCTTCCTCCTGAGCCGGACCTGGAGCCGCAGAGCCACGCGCTCCACCAAGACCCTCAAGGTGGTGGTGGCTGTGGTGGGCAGCTTCTTTGTCTTCTGGCTGCCTTATCAGGTGACGGGGATGCTCATGGCCTTGAACCCCCCTTACTCAGTGCTCTTTAAAAGGGTGTCAGCCTTTGACCCGCTGTGCGTCTCAGTTGCTTACATCAACTGCTGCATTAACCCCATCATCTACATGGTGGCCGCCCAGGGCTTCAAAGCTCAATTCCGCAAGTCCCTCCCTGCCAGGCTCCGGAGTATGCTGACCGAAGACTCCCTGAGCAGGGAATCGAGGTCCCAAACATTGTCCACAATGGAAAGCTCAGTCCAGAAGAGCCAGGCAGTATAGGGGGAGGTCACCCAGGCCACCTTCGACCTGGTATTGCAGCAGCCTCCGTGGCACCATCTGTCCACTGATTTTTTTCTGTAAATTTTATTAATTTGCTGTAAATAAATTATTCCATGACATAAAGTCACTACCCTGTTTTCACAGGGTGTGGGCACATGCTATATAGTCTTCCGAAGCTTTGGTGACAACGTCCTACCCCCTCCCCCCCAACTTCCCTCTTCATTGCTCTCCCCACTTCCTCTGGCCATCACTGTATTTTTCAGCCCAAGAATGCGCTTCTTCTGGGCTTTGCTAGTTTAATTTCTTTGTTTTATTCTTTTATATTCCGCAAGTAAGTGATGCCAGCTGGTATCTGCCCTTCACTTTCTAACTTATTCCCTTGGAAATACCCTGTGGTTCAGCCACGCCATTGGTGGGTACTGGCACAAAGGGTATGGAAACGCTAATACAAGTTGAGATCTGTGCCTACGTGTTCAGAGCCAGGTCATGGAAGCACTCCAAGTGCCCAGCGACAGACGGCTGGGTAAAGAAATCATGGAACAGACATTCAATTGAAGACTACTTGATATTAAAAAAAAGATGAAATAGCGTCTCTGGGGACAGCATGCACTGTTCCTTCTGCTGATTTTAGCTCAGCCCTGGGAGAGGCGGCATGGTTGGGTTAAAGTCTAAGTCTTCTCCAAGGCCTGTTTCCCCCAGAACTTCCTCCTGCTTCCATGCAAATTCTTCTCAACCTTCCTTGTTTCCAAGTTAACACTTCTCTCCAGGAACACCGACCTTTCTCTCCATCCAAGGATGATGCAAAAGGACAGAAACTGTGTTCTCTGTGTGTGGCCCTTCACACTGAGATATGTGCGGCCCATGCAGACGAGAGTATGCCAGACTCACGCAACAGAGACTATCAAAACACTCCAACCTTGTTTAAACATGTTTTAAACTCCTCCTCCCACCTCCCCACCACCGATAACCCTCCCCCACCTCCCCACCCCATAACTGCTAATCTTTTTATCACTTTTTCCAGGATGTTCCCCAATTAAAAACATTCCGTTTCAGCCTTTTTCAAATGGCTTTCTTCACTTACTAATATTGCATGCACGATTGCTTGGGCCTTGGTCTTTCCTTAAGAGCGCTGAGTTATAGTCCATGGCTTGGATGTACCACACTTTACACATCCGCCCACTGAAGAATAATATCTTGTTTGCTTCCAACTTTTGACAATTGCAAATAAAGCTTTTGTAAACATTAAAACAAAAAGTTCCTTATTTATTTCATGGAGTGTTGGAAAACAACATGACTGATACTTCCAAAGCCATTCTCTCTGGGGACAAAGTAAAAAGACCTGGGGACAAAGTAGAAGGACCTGTCTAAGCATTTATGAGTCAGTTTATTGTTCATTTTTTAAAAGATTAATGGGCGCATAATCTTTTAAGATTTTTTAATTTAAGCAAGCATACAAGAGCTGGGGTGTAGACCAAAGGTGTGGGGGTGAGAGGATCCACTAGAGACAGAGTGGGGAGCAGAGCAGGAAAATCAGCTGAAATCCACTGCTGAGGGGAGCAGTGAGGAGACAGGAGAGGTCTGCTGCGCACTGTGGGTCACTCCCTGGCTGGGGATGGAACTCATGCTGCAGCAGCTGTGCTGCGGAGCTTCACAGTGCAACCTCTTAACCCTTTGCACCACTAGAGATGCCGCTTGTGAGTCAATTTAAGGGAAAACAGTTACTTCACTGGATTCTTTTAAAAAGTATTAAGTAAAAAGAGCTCTGTGGTTATGGTGAGAAGCAGGTGTGAGGAAGGCCTGCTGAGACTGGGAAACAGCAGTGGGGAGCCTGCAGGGAAAAGGGGACACAGGGGAATGTGGCATTGCCCTCTGTAAATCGCAGTTCTGTTTAAATTTAAAAAAAAATTAACTTGTCATGTTGAGATTAGTGTGGAATCACAGGCCACTGTAAGTAACTGCCGACGGCCCCGCCGGTCCCCTGACCTCTTTCCCTCCACAGCCACATCTTGTGAAAGGACATTATGATGTCACCACCAGGGTGTCGACACTGGCACTGTTGAAGTAGAGGACATTTTCATCACCTCCAGAATCTCTAGTCACCCCTACTGCCATCCCACCCCCCAGCCTTGTCCCTAAATCGGCGCCACCACGAACTGCTTTCCTCTCTATCTGTGTAGTATCCTTTCAAGAATGTTCTCCGTATGTTGCCTTTTTCAAATAGGCTTCTTCTTTTCACTTAGTAATATTGCACTTTAAGATTCCTCCATGGGCGGGAAGTGCATGGGGCTATGGTGATGGCACCTGGGTGACTCGGTGAAGGGAAACCCACGGGGATTACAATGGAGATGAAAACACCAACAGTACAAAATGATGTAAAAATAAACTATTATTTTTTTTTAAAAATCCAATAAAATGGAAAAAAAAAAAAGATTCCTCCCTGGTGGCCCAACGGGTTAAACTCTCCTGACCAGCCCGCTGCTCCCCTCAGCAGTGTACTTTGCTGATCCGCCTGTTCTGCTTCCTGCTCTGTCTCTGGTGAATCCTCTCACATCCCTGTGCCTCTCGCTAGTTCTATATGCATAAATAAAAGATAAATCTTAAAAAAAAAAGATTCCTCCATGGTTTTTTCGTGGCTTGGTGTTTTCTTTTTAGTGCTGACTAATATTCCAGTTTGGGATGTACCACACTTTATCTACACATCCACCCACAGAAGAATATCTTGTTTGCATCCAACTTTTGATAACTGCAAATAAAGCTGCTGTAAACAGTCAAAAATATATAGTTTTGAACCTTGTTTAAAAAGTAGTTAACACAGAGTCCTCCTAACACCTTCCTAGCCCTGATAACCACTGATCTTTTTACCACCTTTTCCAGGATGTTTGATAGACAAAAATTGGGTAAAATTGTTCATTTTTTAAAAGATTAATGTGTGCATAATCTTTTAAGATTTTTTAATTTAAGCAAGCATATAAGAGCTGGGTGTAGACCAAAGGTGTGGGGGTGAGAGGATCCACTAGAGACAGAGTGGGGAGCAGAGCAGGAAAATCAGCTGAAATCCACTGCTGAGGGGAGCAGTGAGGAGACAGGAGAGGTCTGCTGCGCACTGTGATGGGAAACCTACCCATCCCAGGCTGGGTAGGTTCAATATCAGGTCTTGCAAATGAAAAGATAATTTCGGAGGCTTCAGTAGATTTTTACAGGCCTTTAATGCTGAATCGGGGGACAGAGCAGTCTTCTCCCTCAGATCTCCCTGGATGTCCCATCTCAGAGTGACGCTACTACACTCCTTTGCCCTTCGGCACAGGTGTCCCCATTTTCATAAATGCATGGCCCAGGTGTCCATACAAAACCACAGGTGTGGCTCGTAGATGCTAACGGAAATAGTCACAGGCCACAGCTGCCCAACAGAATATGATGTGAGCCATGTAAGTAGTTTCAAGTTTTTTAGTGGCTACATTACAAAATTAAAAAGAGGACCTCCCTGGTGGCACAAGGGGTTAAAATTCAGCACTACGAAGCTATCAGCAGCCACAGCAGCATGAGTTTGATCCCCCGCCTGAGAGGTCCCACATGGCGCAGCAGACCTCTCCAGTCTTCCCGCTGCTCCCCTCAGCAGTGTCAGTCAATCTGCATGTTCTGCTCCCAACTCTGTCTCTGGTGCATCCTGTACCCCTGTACCCATCACCCTTGTACCCCTGGCCTGTACCCCAGTTCTGTATGCATAAATAAATAAATCTTTTAAAAGAGAGAGAGAGAGAGAGAGAGAGAGAGAGAGAGAGAGAAATAGGGGTTGTTCTGCAATATTCCCAGGCCAGGGAGATTTGCCATTGGTTCTAATAACTAAAATATAACTTTTGAGCCTTTGGTATTGTTACAAGGCAACCCAGTGTGAACTGGGCTGCCTGTCTGTGGGTTCTCACCCACGTGCTTAAAATTTAATTGTACTGCAGGCACACACAAAAAGGGTCAATAATGGGTTTATTTACAAAAGGGGAAAGGAAAAGGAACAACCCAGGGAAAGAGAAAGAGATACAAGGTAACTAGAATATCTTACCAGCTCCGCTGACTTGGAACTCCAGTAACACACTGATAGCCACCAGCCACGTGGTCCTGAGAGAGACCGTAGAAAATGGCCCCCTACATATATACATATATATCCCCCAAAGTCCCAGAATGCCTGCTTAGCTCCACCCTTGGGTCCTCGCAGTTCTCTCCCTGGTACTGCTGGGAGGTGTAGTTTCCAATCACTGGAGTAGGGGGTGGAGTCCAGAAAGCTGGAGTAGGGGGTGGAGTGCAGAAAACTGCAGAGTTCCTTTAGGACATCCTTTCCCCCTAACAGTATCATATGCACAGGTTTTAATAATAAGCAGGCGAAACAAGCCAGCAGGGAGACAGCAACTTGAGGGGTCCCCCAGGGCGATGCTGGCTTTTATCCTCTCCCTCCTAAACACAGGTGTGCACACTTGCACATGTGCACACACACCTGTTCCAGGTGCCCACAATCAGGATGGGTGCCCCACACCCCTGTGTTATCACGGTCAAGGTCACAGGTGACAGCCATAGAGGCTGGTGGTGTAAAGGCCTGATTGACTTATTTACCCTAGAAGGGTAGAATTGACAATGTTAACAATCTGAGTATACATTAATAATAAAAATATTATATATCATATGAATAGCAGTATGTTGTATAATTATGCTATATAACTATCAACCATTAAATAATGGAGAAAATATAGAGCTATCTTATAAAATACATAGAAATTTATAACACAGGCCCTCCCTGGTGGCACAGCAGGTTAAGGCGCAACACTGCAAGTGGGCTGCAGCTGTTTCAGTGAGACTTCAATCCCCAGCCCCAGAGGTGACCCACAGACCTCTGTTGCTGGCACAGCAGACCTCTCCTGTCTTTCCCCTGCTCCCCTCAGCAGTATATTCCATCAATCTGCCTGTTCTGTGCTCCACTCTGTGTCTGGTGAATCCCCTCATCTCTGACCTATACCCCAGTTGTGTATGCATAAATAAATCTTTAAAAAAGAAAAGAGGGCCCTCCCTGGTGGTGCAGCGGGTTAAAGCACTGCACTAAGAAGTTAAAGGCACTTCAGCATGAGTTCGATCCCCACCCCGGAGGTGATCCATATGGCGTGGCAGACCTCTCCTGACCCACCCGCTGCTCCCCTCTGCAGTGTACTTCGTCGACCTGCCTATTCTGCTCCCCACTCTGTCTCTGGTGAATCCTCTCACCGTCCCTGCACCTCTGGCCTGTACTCCAGTTCTGTATGCACAAATAAATAAATCTTTAAAAAAAGAAATATATAACACATATTAACATGAAAGTTTGTTATATATGTGTTAATAGATCATAGTCATATTAATGTTACTAATACATATTTAACATATAAAATGTCAGTAATAAATTTTGCTTAACTCAGTACAGCTAAAGTATTTAAATTTAACATGTAATTGTGGGGAATTATTAATGAGGCCTTTTATTCCTCTTTTTTTGTAACAAGTCTCCAGAATCTCATGTGTTTGGCCATCGTGGGTTCAGGCTCCCAGCGGGCCCTCTGCCTCAGCAGGCCGAGTCCAGGCAAAGCCGCCACCATGGAGCAGTGGGCCAGGATCCTGCCCGAGTCTGTGGAGAAAACAAAGCCAAACCCTGCTGCTACAGTGTTGT